TAGAGTCGAGAGGATGTACTTCATTGCAGTGTATCCCGTTTCTCTCAGGTTTTCTCTGCAGAACGGCTAGCCGAAATGTCGCACAAAGTACAAACTCCGTAGAACAAGCGACGATTCTAAGAAATCTACATTCATTCGAGAACTGAGCAACCTGTCTGTGAAACAAAAGAACCATCTTCACAGCACAAGACAAACAGCTTGACCGATTTGTCAGGAAAATTGACTTTATCTGTCTTCCCTTAATTGACTTTATCCCTCTTCCCTTAATTGACTCCATCCCTTTTCCCTTAATTCACTCCACCCGTTTTCCCTTGTCATGAAGTCATTTCTTTTTCAACTGCTAAGGCCCTAACAAATATCTAACGAATTCCACGCAATCACAATTATTACATTAACCTAATTTTTCAATAGGTTTCTTAGTAAACCATTTTAAACACACACACACACACACGATAAGATTAAAGTAACAAAGTCCCCAGAAAGAAGAAATATACGTAAACAGTTTAAAATTGAAAAAGTTAATTCTTTTTTGGGGGGACAAATGTTCACCTATACAGTTTCAGTCGATAAGTGGTTAGGTCATTTGCCCAGTCTTTCGAAAGTTATGGGTTCAGTTTAGGGCTTCCTTGTGTAATTTTAGGGTGCAAATGTTTCATGAAAGATCGTCGCTGAAGCCAAGTAGTTCATGTTTTTTGTACGGTACTTGAAGGTGGCCCAGCAATTACTCTATGACGATAAAATGTGCCGAATTCTACGAACTCCAACAGAACGAAGTCGATTATCTAGCATTAACGTGCTTGAAACAGTTAACGCAATATTTGTGTTTCCTTCGAATTCGGAATGCTTCTACCTGAAAGGCAAGGAACCAACCAATATACATTAAAAGAAGCCACATATGTAAAATAGATGTGCACGCTAAATCCAAGTACTAGATCATGACCTACGTCGAAAAGTGGAAGAAGGACCAGAACGTTTCGCTGGACTTTACAACTGCTGACCTCTAAGAAGGAAAAAAGAAGAGGGAGAAAAAGGGGCACGAGAAAATGTTGGCCAAAATTAACCAAGCGCCTAACCAGGATCAAAATGAAAAGCTCGAAGATCACGAGCTTTGGGCTATGCAGAATGTGGGCGAGAGAAGATTATTTAATGCGCTAGTGTGGCGGGTAAATTCGGTTTTATCTAGCGAATGCACTATGTGCAATCTACAGAGGGAATCGCAAATAGTGAATCATCATAAAGGTTTATATTACCCCCAGCCTTGCTGGTTAAATGAGAGGATTCGGGGTTTGCCCACATCTGATTCCCTACTGTTAATAAATTGTATATTTAAATGTACTAAAGTTCACTGACACAAATGTCTAGTTAAAATGAAACTTCATAAAAATGTAAGAACATTAAAACCTTAACATTTAGTTGGAATTGTAAAAGTCCAACAAATAATCAGACTGGCTGTGGAGATAAAATTGGTTTCTGAAAACGTATGGGAATAGTCAACCAATCGGTCCACTTATCTGTAGCTTGGGTTCCTTTGGTCAGTTTCTAGCTAAGCCTCGGAGACACATCAGGCAGGCCGAATCTTCCAGCTACGCTGAGATTTACTTCTGAAACTCCCATCTGGAACTATCACCTGAACCTAATACATTAGAACAGTCGCTATACAAAAAGCAGTTTAAAAAGTTCTCACTTACATCACAAAGAATGAGAACCAGGGAGTGAGTTTACACAAGCAAGAAACTCATAACAGGTGCGTTACGCAGTTTAAAAACAATTATATCAGTCATCAAATAGATCATAGGTTTACATACATGTACATACTAGATCATAAACGTGGTTAGTTAGAATAAAGGAATTCACAAGGATTTCCCCCATCAAATTTCATGTTTAACATATGAAATTATTTCAGAGGAATAGCAGCAATAGATCAAATTAAAATAATACTATTCACTCACCCCTGGTAGGGAATTCAAACAGACAATAAGACTACAGTACTTACAACTTCAGTATTACTGAGTCAGTTGAGGAGAGCAGACTTTTGTCTCTCTTCCCCCAACCGTGCCTGGTACGAAAATGAAAGTAGAGAGTCTTAAAAAGGAGGAAGTAACTCTTGGGTTAATTCTTTCACTACTCTTCATTCGTCTTTTTAAACTTTCTAATTAATTCAGTAATAATAATGCTAATAAAAAGCACTAAAGAATGCTTAGGAAAGTGATAACAATATTACTTAAACAAAGCAATTTTTAAAAAGGAAGAAACAGCTATCCAGACCAGCTCGCCACAGCTAGAAAAATCTAGGCGTCAATTTTGTTTGAATCAACGAACTGTTTGCGTGTGGAGAATATGTTTTGAATCAAGTTTGAATGATGGCGTGCATCCCTTTGATTGTGAGATTCCAATGTCCAACCTGGCCATTAGTTTGATCTGCAGTGCGCAGTGAATTTGTTTGTAGTGTTTGTAAAGGAATATTGTCATTTTCAAGATGCCATTGTGTGAGTGTTCATTCGTGTATTACTGATAAGGTAAAGTGATGTTTGATAGATTGATGATCACCTAGACTATGTATATGCCTCACAATGTGCAGGTCAAAGAATTAGCCAGTGAGTGAACAATTAATAATGACATCGCATCGTGTCGTTCATGTCGTCCATTTTTCACCTGTTCAGAAGTCTGCAAGTGGCTGGAGCCAAACTGAATGTAAACAGAGTCATTGTGTAATAAAAGCAAAGTAGAGGGGGTATCTTGTAATGGAGGAAAGAGAAGAGATAACTATAAAGGATAATATGGAAATCTACTCATCGAAATCTCCTCGACTATGAACCTATACGACTTCTAACAATGTGACGTGGCGAGTAGGAGCCAAAACCCAACCTTAAGCTGCCTCAGTACCAAGAAAAAAAAAAGAGATAAGTTTCGTATAGGCGGGGGTAAGATCAAATGTATAACATCGTGACAGGAAATCTTTTGTGTAAAGTCTAGATCAGCCAATCAAAGATAAATAAAATAGGCACACTAACCACAGGTCCTAATATCAACTAAAGACAATTGTAACTATTATTAAAACATTGAACATCTGTTTATTTCTCTTAACATAAAATCATCGTGGTCCAGAAATAACATTACCAACAAACAAAATGCTCGACCAGAATCTAAAGCGATCATCAGCTAACAAGGAAATATGATAATGACACCATACGCTCAGCGAGATTACTTCAACAATGGCAAAAACCGAAAAAAATATTTAACTTGTACGTTAAGCTTCAATATGCCAACAAATCACTTATAGCGACCTGCCATCTGACTACCTCCTAGCGAGAATACAAAATGGAAATCAAATCTAACACCACTGGAGACATTTCAGATCTAACTATAGAAACACACCACCATCATTAACACTAGCCAGACACAGGGTTCTTGACCTTACCTTGCTGATCACAGAGCGACCGCCAAATAGACCAATGCTGAATGAGTTTGTCCTTTTTATACCCAGTGGCCAAACTTTTCCGCTTTACTGTCTAAAGCTAATTGCTGTTCCTGTGGCCTCTTTGGCCTGTGACAATTGCAATAGTTCAATAGTTCTAGAACACTGGACCATATTATTATAGGCAATCAGTTCTAGAACAATGGACAACATGTTTATGTGTCAAAAGTTCTAGACAAATGGACCAAATGTTTAAAGGCCAGTAATTCTAAACTAGTGAATGGACCACGTGTTTATAGGCTAATAATTGTAGGCCAATGAATGGATCTCATGTTTATATGTGAATAGCTCTAGACCAGTGGGCCGCATGTTTATCGTCCAGTAGTTCCCTAACAATGAATGGACAACATGTTTATAGGCCAACTGTTCTAGACTAAATGTTAAAATGCTGAATCAAGAATCGACATGACAAAGCACGGGACACTCTCATAAGCGCTCCACCCCCATCGTCAGCAGCAAGATAAGAGCTCCAATTCTGATAGTACCAATAACTGATTGAATGTCCGTCTCTTTCCCTTGAGTGTTGAGCGTCGACCAGATGCCCTGGTAACTCCTCGCAGTTATCTAGACCAATGAATGGAGACATGCTGATAGGCCAATAGAGGTGCCAACACAAACAGTCCAGCTCTGAAAATGCTGTTCGTCGTCAATGGAAGCAAAAGCTATAACAGATCAGCAGTTTTACACGCACCTAATTGCATAAATAACAGCACGTTCTCTGTCTTTGGGTTATACACCATGTTCTAAATCAGTTTGTTTTTTAATTTAAAAAAAAAGAACCAAACACGTTAGGCGCAGCTGAAAAGCATTATAAGTGATATCTGCAACTCACAGTGTCGCGCCATTCATTTAGCTTAGGAGTTGGGCGGAACTATGCAGCTAAACAATCGTTCTTGTTCTGTTTGTCTTGCTTTGTATCCCCCAGTACAAAGACGCTAAATCAACTAGTGCCCACCCCAGTACAAAGACGCTAAATCAACTAGTGCCCACCCCAGTACAAAGACGCTAAATCAACTAGTGCCCACCCCAGTACAAAGACGCTAAATCAACTGTCCTATTATTTACCTTCGCCTGCAGCTCAACCCCCACCCCACCGCCCCTTTCCATGTTCTCCACATCCTATCTGCTGCTGTCGCTATTCCTCTTCTACCTTTATTGTTATGGTTAGGTGAATTCCTGAGAATAAATATTATTTATATTATTTTAAAGTTTTCCAATGTGAGTCCTATTCAGGACCATCGACTTTCTTCACTTTTTAATTTTCCAGTTAACTTCATATTTTATTTTACCTCAGTATAGTATTATGTTAATGTAATTATTTTACGCCTTGCCCAGGGCGTGCACACACGCGTGCACGCACACACACACAGAGATATCCTTATGACACTCATGACTATTTGTAACTGAGTCATGAGTCAAGACGTGAAGCTGACTACTGTAAGCTACATGTTTTTGTATTTCCCAGACAGTTTCTCCAGTCCTGATCATCGTTGGCACCACAGGAAACATTATCTCTGTGTTAGTGATGAGCAGAAAACCCCAGAGATCCTCAAAAGCTGCAGTCTATTTGATTGGCCTGGCAGTAGCCGACACTTGCGCCCTGTACTCTGGCTTACTGCGCCACTTCGTTAGAAAAGTTACAGGATGGGACTTCAGGTAATCTAAAGGATAGAACACTTCAGCAAGACAGTTATATTTATAACTGCATGTAAGCGGTAAAGATGCAACTACATCAGTCCCAGATACTGCAGGTGGTATGTTAAATGTTGTTATTCTCCTCTTCATCTAATTACCTCATCTGAGTGTTGGTGTGGACCGTTGTGTGCTCATTTTAATGCGTTACAGTAGTTGATCTTCATTTTTGGAAGGCTGCACTTGATGGTGTGACAGTTAACACTAGGACACACTGTCACAGGCCAAATCTTGTCATCTTTTGCTTTTGAAGTTTTGTGTCTTAGCTATACCTCAGGCCATGACATTATGAAAGCACCCAGTTATTTTTTACTTTACCTGCGTTCTCAAGCAAATACTTTTTCAGAAACTTCCGGTATCAAGGCTAGCACAGAGTACTAATGCTAATGATGGCTGCTGTAGTGTGATGATATGCTTAATCTTTCCTTTCCTTTGAGCTTTTTTACATGTTCACCAGTTCCTCTGCTTACTCCCATTTGTATCAATCTTTCTAGATCATCTTCATATGTTGGCTTTCTGGCTTTGTTTTGATGCTTTCAAAAGGCATTAACCACATCTGGAATGACGTCAACCTATGGACCACCCAACTGGGCAGATTCAGATAACATTTTTGCTTGTTACTCTCCAAATTTAACGGCATGCTCCAGACAAAAGATTAAAAGTAAACTTTATTCTTCTATCTATTCGAAACAAATCATCTGCTGACAGGATATGTGTCTTCATTTATCTTAGCATGCTTTGAGAATGTCGAAATCACACGTGGAAAGTTGCAGTTACTGCATGTAAACCTTCACCCTCAGACTATGTGTGGTTGTATAATATGTCAGGTTTTCTCACACTTAACAAAGTTCATTTAATTTTGCTAGAATTCCCCAGGTACATCCTGTGTCTCCTTCAACAGAGCCGTCTGTATAAATAATTGCATCGATCCACAGGTTTTTCTTGTCCCTGTAAAAACAAGCCCTATTCTCTCTTCTCCTCTCCCAAATGGAGTCGCGGAACCCACACAGGACGATCGTTGTCAATGTTCCTAATGTTATGCACTAACCAATAATATAAACGGGAAACTGTGCTACATACGTGCATCTTGTTCCTGTTGCGAGGACGTGTTAGGCTTGTGAGGAAGTTGGTTAGCATCCATAGTGTCGATGTTTGTGAAGGAGATGATGGACCCAATGGCCTGTCCCTTCTCACGGTTTAATACCACCACTGTCTGATCATTTAATTTTACTTTATATACAGGGTGTCCAATCTTGACTCCCAGATCGACTCAGGCTTGAGAGGGTACCACCTGTAGTCCTAGGAAGTAAAGGCGGTCGGCATGATGCTGACCGCATCAGCACCAAGTGCCGATTGGTCCATAAAAAGAGGTCTAGCCCTATATGCCCAATACGTCTAAAGGCGTGGGAAAAGTCCTTTACATTTTACAGGGTGTTTAAATGCAAAGAATTCGACTCTATCAAGTTGGTTTTTTCAAATTAAATTTTACATAGCTCGGTCTCTGTCCGCAGAGAGTTCTCGCTTGCCTAAAGCTAGGTTTGGATGATCATACCATACTTTCTCTTTAGAAAATCTCTTAGTCCCAATTAATGTATTCTGAGCCCAGCATGTGTCAGTATTCGGCACACCTTTATCTTAGTAATATTATTTTTATTTTCATTTATTGTATGTTTTTTTTTCTATTTATTGTTACTATTTATGGATAATTCTCTTTTTAAACAAAATTCATTCTACTATTATTATTACCTCAATTAACAGCATTGTTACAATTATATCCATCACTACTACGATTAGTGAGGAGAGGCTGGCCTAGTGGTTACAATGTCGGGCTATTATGCGGAAGACCCGAGTTCGACCCCCGGTAAAGTATTGGAGATTTTCTGTCAGAGGCAAAATTAAACATCTTAACCAGCGCAGTCTGTGGCGACAACACTAGCCACGCAGCCCTATATACCTCAGACTCAAAGCACCGCTGTATACACCACCCTAAATAGTGGTAAAACAGACAGTAGTGATAGTACAGTGCTAAGGTTATTAAGCCCATTCCCCCAGTTTTATTATTACTAATAATATTATAACTATTGTATATCCTTCCTTTTTTCGTTCCACACGTTTTTCAAGTCTTATTTTTTTTTAAAGGGAAGGACCCCTTTCCACGCCTTTAGGCGTAAAGGGCATATAGGGCTAGACCTATTTTGTATAGACCAATCGGCACAAGATGGGTGATGTGGTCAGCATCACGCCGGTCGCCTCTATTTCCCTGGACTGCACCCGGTACCCACTCAATTTCACGTCCTATATTTCATGGTAATTTTTGTGGACATCTCACTCTACCAGTGAGGGGAACTGGTAGCAAGGATAATCTGCTTCCTGTGTCTTGATGTCAAGAAGGGCTTCCATCAAAACACAACTTCGTTTTGTGTGTGTACGTTGTGCCCCCTGCTTCTTTCGTCTTCAGTGAATTAATTTCTTAGTATTAGCTTGACTGCAGTAATCCATAATTTCATCACTTACTAATTACTTACTACAATAAAATGTTTTGTTTATTCAACAGACATATCTCAGAAGTCAGCTGTAAGATCAACATATGGCTGGTGTATGCATCACTAGACATCTCCGTATGGATTTTAGTGGCGTTAACCATTGAACGTTTCTTGTCCGTGTTTTTCCAGCATCCGGTGAAGATCTACTGTTCTCGCATGTCCTCCAAGGTGGCTGTAACGTGCATTGTCATCTCCATACTCGTTCTGGACACACACATACTTTATGGTTACGGTGACAGCCTTACAGGGGATACCCAGCTGAAAAATCTCTGCACTGCAATCTCTGATAATTATAACAGCTTCTTCATATACGATTATCCATGGATTGAGTTCTGTTTCCACTTTGTGATTCCTATAATTGTTCTTACTATCGGCAATTTCAGCATCGGTGCTAAAGTACTGCTTGTCCGGAGAAGCTTACGCAGGTTTCCGAGGCAACCTTACAACGATCGCTTGTTGAGAGCAACAAGCAGACGAGGTCGTCTTTCTAGACTGACCGTCACCTTGTTCGCCCTCACCTTGGTGTTTATGTTCACTGAGGCACCATGCAAGGTATTTTACATTCTGAAAGCACTGGGGCTGAAACACATTGACACCACAGCAGATGCAGGTGTTTTCAATATAATGTACACTACGGCTAACCTGAGTATGTACGTTAATAAATCCATTAACTTCATCCTCTACTGCTTTACTGGATCTAGATTCAGACATGAATTGATGAGTATGTTCAAAAAGCAAAAGACTAGGACTAATACAACAAACCCAGTAAGAGAAGGATGAACATAATTTTCTAGACGATTTTCACCAATCGGAATGTCACCGGCTAATATAGACGTTTTGTGACCCACACAGGTGTGAATACTGCATTGCAGGAGAAGGAAACAACCAACGAAATAATAAATTTTATTTTCAAAGGGTTACAAATTGGACACGCAGTCCCGTCTTACATTTGGCCCTTCTAAATATCCACTTTTCACAAAGCAATTGTATTATATAAATAAAGCATGTTATGCTCATATAATGAAATACATACTGAGTGGTAAAATGCATGGGCTCACTCGCACGAGCACACACACACCCACCCCCATACACACGCCAACGTATTCGCTCGCTCACCCACATCAATATACACACCCTTGTTCCATACACTCCCACATACATACGTATCTATCTATATCTTGTAGCTATCTATATTATTGTTCTATCCTCGCTCAACGTGTGGGATCCAACACTCGTTATTTATGTCAGCACTTACATACAACGCATAGGATCCAACACTCGTTATTTATGTCTGCACTTACATACAACGTTTTGGATCCAACACTCGTGATTTATGTCAGCACTTAAAACAACGTGAGGGATTCAATACTCGTGGTTTATGTCAGCACTTACATACAACGTATAGGATCCAACACTCTTGGTTTATGTCAGCACTTACAAACAATGTGTGGGATCCAACACTCGTTATTAATGTCATCACTTACATACAACGTATAGGATCTAACACTCGTGGTTTATGTCAGCTCTTGAGATAAACATCATATCCAGTTTCTACCTGGTTAGAACATGAGAGCTTACATGAAACAAGCACAATGATTCTGAGCTACTGGTTTTGGGATCAACATTATCACTCATGATTACGAGTACTTCAAAAATGGAATGGAAATAAAAGGAAGAGGTTTGGGGTGGGTTAGCGCCATAAAATATTTTCTTTAGGGTGGAGGGTGCGGGTATGCTTGAGGAGTTTGAACCTTTATTGATATATAATATTATTAGTACTAATAATAAAAATGTGTTTAATAAAAGTAAGCGAGCTTTTTCAACATTTTCAGGCATATCAGATATATAAAGAGAGAGCTATATTTTATACACCAATCGGTATTTGTGGGTGATGACGTCAGTATCAGGCTGGCCGCCTTGACTTCCCCGGGCGTTACCTGGTACCCATTTAGGGCTGGATCGACATGGGAGCCAAGGCATTTATAAACAAAACTGGACTCCGTTAACGCTTGAAAACACGACCTTCGAATTCGCAGGCGAACGTCTAGCCGCCACAACAACTCGGCTTAAAATGTGCTAAGTGGCAAATGAATAAAGCGTAAATTTGAAATAATTAATGTATGAAGAGAAATGAATGCAAAAGGATTTAGGTTCTTTGGGGGTGTGCAGGGGAGGGCTCGGGGTAATTAAGACCACAGAATCTGGCCCTTGTGCTCAAGCTCAGGCTCTGTAGCAGCGGCGAAGATGAAATACTTTGGGTAGATTTATAACTCCACATTTTGCCCGGGCAGTGCCGTTAGGTTACTCTTTTCGATTTTCAACTGCCAAAGGATTTTTTAAGTGCGCATCAATACACACGGCCGTCCCATCTCGCTACCAAGAGACCAGAGGGAATTACTTGAAGTCCAAGATTAAACCCGGAACCACTAGCACTCGAGGCGGACAAAAGAAACCTAGAGAATAAACATGCACTGGTTCAGAAGAGTAGATTGTATTTCATGAAAATAAAATACATAAATTCTGAAGTGACTGGGAATAAAAAGACTCTTGTTGAAAGAAATTCAAAGAAAGAAAAAGAGGCACAAATCATTCAGGTGCCATCTCCACAACAACTCTCTTTTCATCGCATGTTTTTTCAGAACCTCTGCATTTCAATATTTTTTTTTTTGTTTACTTAAAATACGACTTCCCCCCCCCCCCCCCCCCCCCTGTTCATCAACATCTTCAGAGGCTCGCTTTCATCACAATGAAGACAACTGAATCATTTCTGTGACATGAAAAGATATACCATTCTTTGAAAAACTATACCAAAGAGTGAACAGAAGCAAAATGTAGACAAGACAAGGACAATATCAAGAGGTGGACGAACAGGTCTGAAATGATGTTTGCTATCAAAATAAGAGACATGGTGTGTGAATATTGATTAGCTCCAACCTTCATTGTTAAAACTGCACCTGATTGACAGAGACCCATATAGGATCGAAGGGAAAGACAAGACCTCTCACACCTAGGTAATGGTGGTCATTACAGAATGTAACAGGAAGCAGTTAGGACAGACAAGGCTGATATCGATTGCTGATTGTCGTTGACGCCATCCACGTATGCAGAAACATCGCTCCCAGGACACAATTATTTAGGCTAGAGCATATATTTGGTTATACCCTGCATACACTTGCAACGGAAGCGATGCGATGTACTTGTGCGACTGTAAGTTCCTGTCATTATTCACACTACTATTTCAGTTTGCTACGAAACCAGAGGAAGACAAACCACATTCTGTAGACGCATTATGATACGGAGAAAACTAAAGCACGTTGTGACAAAAGGAAAGTTTGACAGGAAGACAAGCTGGGGGAGTGTGGGTGTCACATAATAACACCAACTCCCCTACAATAGATCTGTCCACAGGCTGAACACCCTTATACTAATTGATGTATTTATATCTCGGACAGTCTGTCCGCAGATATATAGTTCTTTGGTTATGGGGAGTCCGAATGTGACAAATGTACGACCAAGGGAGCAGAAGCGTTTTGTCGCGGTGGCCTTTTGACCGTTACTGACGACAAACTGTTTTGCCAGATAATTGTCATCAGCATGGAATGTCTGAAAATCCACCAAACATCTGAGTGGTAGTTCGGTTCCCCAGTCAACCGTTAACCTGACAAGCCAGCCAGCATTGCAGTGTCATCTCCTCATATCGAGAGCCGTTTCCGAGGTCGATGTCAGTGAGTCGCTGAAAGGAGTTTTTGGTCTACCGAGTCGTTCGAGAAGTCAGGGGGCTGTGAAGATTTACACTTCTTGTCACAGAAGAGTTTCTGAATTCTAATCAGATAAGTCGGCGATTATGCAGGAATATTACAGCAGCCTAGACCCAAATGTCATCAGTAATCTCTCTCCGCCCTCCAGGCGATGATGACGGTGGAAATGTGAGAGGCCCTCAAAGGAGACCCGTGCTCTAATATTGATCTTTCAAGCAAATTTTGAACTTTCGTTCTGTTCCAATTGTTTCTATATTTCGTCTTGACTCGCCGCAGCGCCCTAATTACATTATATTCCTTGTTCAGAAAGTTTCCTGTTCTTAGAAGAAAATTGTCTTGATTGAATTGTCAGAAGTGTAACCATGTTTTGTCAGACCCACTGTTGTATATTCGTTCAATTGTGTTAACGTTGTTTTCTAGTCTGGAAGCAAACAGTGTGATGTGGAAGTCAGGCTGAGTTGTACCCGAAGATTCATAACAATTCCGTAGAGTCAGCACTCGAGTCGCCTCATCCCTGAGATAAGCTGAATGTATGTTTGAACCAAAGACTTAGCTTCTAGACAAACGAGAGCCATTTTTCAGAACACCCCTTTCTCAAAGTACTTAAGGATTTTAGGGAAATAATCCTGAAGTAAAGGTACTTGACAAAACTGCCTTACGACAGTGGGAGTTGGCAGGAGGCGGGGTGTTGGGGTTGGATAAGGAATAAAGATCCTCGACTGTCTGACATCATTCTATAAAATAACATATGTATCAGAAATGATGCAATGCCCGAGATAGATAGATGTGGTTTGAACATAATACCAAAGCATAGACTAGCAGTAATAGCACCAGCAGCAGCAGCACAAGAAGAAGAAAAAGAAGAAGAAGAAGAATAGACGGTGGGGTGAAAGAAGAGGAGAAGAAGAAAAAGAGGAAGTTGAAGAACGAGGAGTAGGAGAAGCAAACCTATCATCACATTCCTCGTGATCTTTCTGAACATCATCATCCTAACCATCATCTTTCACTACATCAATATAAAAATGATGTTTTTTTTTTTTTTTTTTAAACCGTTTACGTATCCACATAAACCTCCGGCTGTGGTGTTCTAGATTCAGTCGTTTGAGGGCATTTTCAGCCATCTGAGAATCGTTCGCCCTCGCTCCCTGCCCGACCGAGGTTCTTACATCGTCGTTGTCGACACCAATATCACCACTTGTCGTCCCGTTTCACTCGTATAGGGATTGCAGTATTGTCCTCCTGTGGTTCTATACTGTGCTACCTATTTATGGAATCCAGTCTAGCTTCTTTGGCCTTTCTCAGTAAAGTTAGTCTGTTTCTTTTGGATATTTTTTTATTAAAACTAATTTATTTCACATTTTAGTGTTTGTTTAGTGATGCTCACTACAACAATTCAATATTTCACCATCTTCTTTCTCTTTAACTGTTGATACGAGCGGTGGTCAGACATGTGGCGGTAGATAACTGCGGTTGTGTGGTGGATAGAGGTCAGGTGGTCTTAGGTTCAAATCCGCATATTTAAGTTTGTAATAAATGAGTAAGGATTTCTAGGTCACCCATGTTTAAAATTGATACGGGATATTTCCTGGGAAGTAAAGGCCACACCACTAGTTTGTGAAGACTGCTCTGTAATATGGGGATCTAGAACCATATGTACGATGTATCAATAGGGTGACAAAGTTCCTTATTATTATTTTTAACTACAAAGTAAAAACTTCTGTGGGGGGGGGGGGGGGGGGGGGGGGGGTAGGACATGTGTTCTACAGGCCTAAAAAGAGTTGTGATCTATTTCAGCATGATGGTAGTTGTGATCTATTTTCACATGGTGGTAACCGTTTTAGATCATCAACTGGTGAGAACATTCGTCCACATCTCGCCAGTTCGAATAGTGGAAACATCACCGCGATAAAATCCCATGAACATCAAACACCATTTTGTGAGGGAAATCAAATTTGTGCGTGGGGCTGATTATAACTTGATGTATCAATTGATATGACGTGGTATTCACGCTAGCAACGTTTGAAAATATATTTGCTAGAGCTAACCGGAATCGTTGTAAATTGAAGTTTCTTGACCCGATGGTGCAGTTAAGCATTTGCTTGAGCAAGTACCAGGTGATTTGTAGAAAAAAAAAAAAAATTACTAACCCACATACATACAATCGGAAACTGTTTGAATATTATCTTACTGCAGACTATATGCCCCCTTAAAAGATTATAGTATGTTAAACCTATGAAGTATTTCCATCGGATGCCTTTTTATTTTTATTTTATAAACTGAAGGTTATTATTGTTCCAAAATGAAGATGCCAGTGGACCGCATCCTAGCGTTTGCACTAACATATATTTGATGTTGATTATGTTTATATTATGACATATAAGAAATATAATTTTTGGTATAGGCTTATCACTATACTTTTCAAATACTTTTAGTAATTTAAGAATAATTAGATAACATTCCACTTTTACTGTACTTTTTTAAAACGTTCAGTAATGTAAGTATAATTAGAGGACATTCCAACGTTTGTAATTAAGACAAAGATGTTCGAAACTTTTTTTTAAAAATCCTATTGTTATTATTATTTTCAGCTATGAAATGAGGTACGAGTAAATAACTGTATGCAAGAAGTAGGGACTACAGGTTGAATGGGCTTTTCGAGACTTGCGTCCGGAAGATTCTCAACCAAATGGTGCCACTTTGTGTTATTGAGTGTTTATCTCTCGTTAGGCTATCCTGAGGGGTTTGACTGTCACTCAAAAGTATTGTCTATGGAAACTGCATTTTTAAAATTTAGACAAAATGTGTTTTTTTTCTCTCAGTGTCGTTTGACAGATAAGATTACTTTGTTCAACGCCTAGCCACTAACTAATGAGAGTGACAAACGGACGTCTAAAAGATAATTTTAATTTAAAAAAAGGTGTTTTTTTCCAACAAAAGTTGTGAAAAATCGATATTCTGAAAGAACAAATCTAGGACGTGTTGTTTGCGCTTTCTCATAGATACACAGAGAGCAGACTATAAAGTCAACGAGACTTCAAATGTCTCAATTTGCAACATAAAGGGGGAGATTTAGGTTATGATATGTGATTAGCTCATGTACCCCATGTAAAATGGCTTATCGTTGCTCGCCACCAAGTAGTTCTGAAAAGAGTTCTTGCATTTTTGTTGCGATGAAACGAAACATACCCACATACTGTCCCAACCGGCGACGAAGTCAATGGGCGACCTGGTCGCTGATCAGCAAGGACACTTTCCGCTTTTTGTTCCAGCGTAACGAGTCTAGATTGGGCAGAAAACATCAAAGGCTATGGAGAGGGAGTGGAAAGACAAGTAAAGGACCTGTTCTTTACATTTGTATAGCCCAATCAGTACTCTGTTAGTTATGTCGTCAGTGACATTACAGGCAAATCAGCACGCTGGATTTGTCAACCGAATTTTAAGGATTTAGTGATTTCTCATCTTTTGAATATCACTTTGCATGAAATAAACAATTATCTCCATAAACTTGTTGCATCAATTTAACTGTTTCAATAGCGCTTTTATTGAGTTTAAAAAAGAATTTAATGTTAGCTGTTTTCTTCGTGCTGATTACGTAACAATGCACCGCTGACTATGTCAACAAAATGACTGCTTGTTTGTTGTCTGCTTTTCGAGCGGCGATGAAAAGTTGCCAGATCATAGATGAATGTTGCTTCTTTAGATTCCATGCTTTGCTTCATAGATGTCATTTTTTTCTTGGCCATATTAAAATCAGTCTTATTACTTAATTATCGGACCTCGTATATACTGCTGATTGTGTCATTGTCTGCAGGAATTGAATTGATGATTGTGTGTTTCTCTGTAGGTACATAGATTAATTACTGACTAAAGTGTTGTCTGCAGGCACATGTAATAAATTGATTGCCGAACCTTTATCTTCAGGGACAGCGTATGAATTGCTGACTGTTTCTTTGTCTGTAGGTACATACAATTAATTATTGACTGAGCCTTGGTCTGTAGGCGTATTTAATACATTGATGGCCGAATCTTTGTCTTCAGGGACAGGGTATAAATTGCTGATTGTGTCTTTGTTTGTAGGTACAGACGATACAGACTATTGATTACTGACTAAGCCTTTGTCTGCGGGTATATGAGATAAATAACTGACTATGTCATTGTCTACAGGCGTAGGTCATGTATTGCTGTTTAAGTCTTTGTCTAAAATTGTTGGTACAGTAGCGACCATTTTGTTGCAGGCAGCACTTTCTGTCGAAGAAAATTTTGCATTTTCTTGATTTAATTGTAAAGTTATTTTCAAAGTATCTTTCATCACAGGATGTATCCCGTTAACCACTTTCTTGTCAGTAGTTAGTAACGATGTAGTTTTGACGGCGTCTTTGTCTGTAATAACTGGTGAACTCATCTTGAAAATGTCTTTGTTTCTGTATGATGTGCGGTTATTGCTATCACTATAGTCGTCTATGATAACAGGTGATATTTTCTGAACGGTGTCTTTGTCTGAAATTACTGATGAAATAATTTTGGTTGTATGGTCTATGTCTGAAACTACTGAGGAATTAATGTTGACAGTGTGGTCTTTGTCTGAAATTACTGAAGAAGTAATGTTGACAGTTTTGACTTGATCTATAAATACTAATGAAGTAATATTGACAACATCTTCGTTCCAAATTTCTGGCAAAGCAATATTGACCGTGTCTTCGTCTGTAATTACTGGTGAACTAATGTTAACAGCGTCTTCACTTGTTAATTTCTAATGATGTTAGATGGACCGTGTCTGGCTCAGGATATGGTTCCACCGTAAAAGGAACTTCCGACGTTTGGGTGACTGGGACCCGTCTATCAGCGGAGGAGGATTTCCCTGCAGGGTCCTCCTCTTGACCGATCCTACCCGATCTTTCTAGAGAGCTGATATTGGCTTTCCTGAACATGCCACACAGCTCCTTCCTGAACCTGGATCCAGTAACACAGTACAGGATGAAGTTGACTGAGTTGTTTGTGTACATCACCAGGTTGACAACCGTGTACACAAGAGTTAAAACCGCACTGTTGTAAAAGGATGACTGAAACTGCAATTTCGGCCTCACAATGAAATAAACGCTCACTGGGGTTGTGGTGATCAGGAATACACTGTTGAGGATCAGAAGGATGGTGGTCATGGATGAAATTCGTTCCACTCTTTTAGTTGCTTTGAGTGATCTTTTAGTCGTCGTATTTTTGAGTGCAAGTTTAGGATCCGGTTTGATGTCTAAAACTGCAACTTTCCGTGTCTTTCTGCGACTAAGAAAAACCCTTGTAGCAATACATGTGTTTCCTATGATGAGAATAAAGAAGGGTACACAGCAGTAAACGCTGAAGTCGAGCCATGGGAACAATTCTCCGAAAAACAACGCATATTCACTTGAGACATAATAACAAAAATAACTGGTATTGTTTCTTCTACGAAAGGTTTGCAGATCGACGCCATACAGAATATGACCATTGATAGCCATCATACCGATCAGTACGCCAATTACGATCAAGACTGAGGACATGCGGGTACAGTAAGACTTAACTTTGTGAGGAACAAACACCGACAAAATGCGCTCAAAAGTGAAGGCCACTAAGATCCAAACGGAAGTATCCAGGGCCACGTAGACGATCCAGGAGTTGATCTTGCAGCTCAGATTTGATTTGTTCCTGTAAAAAGATAAGTTCGCTAGTAGTTAGGTTAACCATTATAAGTGATATTATTATTATTTTTTTTTAATGGAGAAACTTTCTTCAGCATACACAATTCTTTTTTCAAATGTTCTTTAACCTTAACTAAGCGTTCTTTTTCAAGTCTTCTTTAACCTTAACTAAGCATTCTTTTTCCAGTCATCTTTAACCTTAACTAGGCGTTCTTTTTCCAGTCATCTTTAACCTTAACTAAGCGTTCTTTTTCAAGTCTTCTTTAACCTTAACTAAGCGTTCTTTTTCCAGTCATCTTTACCCTTAACTAAGCATTTGTTTCCAGTCATCTTTAACCTTAACTAAGCGTTCTTTTCCCAGTCATCTTTACCCTTAACTAAGCATTAATTTTCCAGTCATCTTTAACCTTAACTCAGCATTCTTTTTCCAGTCATCTTTACCCTTAACTAAGCATTAATTTTTCAATCATCTTTAACCTTAACTAAGCGTTCTTTTTCCAGTCATCTTTACCCTTAACTAAGCATTCTTTTTCCAGTCATCAGTCATCTTTAAAAATCTTCTTAACTAAGCGTTCTTTTTCCAGTCATCTTTACCCTTAACTAAGCATTAATTTTCCAGTCATCTTTAACCTTAACTGAGCATTCTTTTTCCAGTCATCTTTAACCTTAACTAAGCATTCTTTTTCCAGTCATCTTTAACCTTAACTAAGCATTAATTTTCCAGTCATCTTTAACCTTAACTGAGCGTTCTTTTTCCAGTCATCTTTAACCTTAACTAAGCGTTCTTTTTCCAGTCAACTTTAACCTTAACTAAGCATTCTTTTCCAGTCATCTTTAACCTTAACTAAGCATTCTTTTTTTCCAGTCATCTTTACCCTTAACTAAGCATTAATTTTCCAGTCATCTTTAACTTTAACTAAGCATTATTTTTTCAATCTTCTTTAACCTTAACTAAGCGTTTTTTTTTCCAATCGTCTTTTAATTTCTGTGTCTTCCCCACTAATAAAGCCTAAGCCTGGGGTTTAGGTTACTAAATGTCTCCACGTTTCAATATCTGTCCTGTGTAGTTCGTCCAATGTCCCCTCCTTGTCTATCTTCACTATTTCAGTCACGAAATATCTATTCCCCTCACCACAGTTAGCCCCCCCCCCCCCCCACCCAAGAAAAGCCCCGTAGAACTTCCTGTCTCCTTTCAAGTCAACATTTAGCTTCAGACAGCTTCTAAAAACCACATGTCTTCCTTTAACTGACAAAGGAGTGATATCTTAACCAAGAAAATTGCATGCCGTTAAAATTTAGCTCCAAATGACTCTAAGGACCACATTTCTCCATTCAACTGACGCGGTACTAACCAAGAACATTACCTGAGGTCAACACCTGTCAGTGCTATGATGAACTGTCGAAGCAGACCTGTGTACAAGACAGATGTGTCAGCCAGCGCCAGAGCGATCAGATAAACGGATGCGTTGGAGGATCTCATGTTCCGTCTACACATCACTGCCACACAAATCAGGTTCCCTATGGTTCCGAAGATGATCAGAATAGGGGCGATAATCTGTGGAATGTCCGTAATAAAGTTGTGACACGATTAACTGTAGTGTGATTTCAGTTTGGGAACTGACGTGGTATAGTGGTTAGACGTTGGCTTTTTGATCAGAAAGTCATGGGTTAGGGTCGTGACTAATACGGACTTTTTTCAAAAATAACCTTGGCTCCCAGGTCGACCTAGCCTTAAATTGGCACAAGTTAAAGTCATAGGAAGTAAAGGTGTCCGGCTTGACGTTTAAGACATCAGACATTATTGCTTACTTACGTCCTTTTCAGGACGTAATTTAGCCCTTATTTAAGCCCCACTCTGGCGTTTTGAAAGGGGTTCCTTCAATATAGGCATGCCATAAAATTAGGGACAAATGTCTCGCGGATTCTGGGACCTCATCCACGGTAATCCAATCCACATGGTGGCACAATACTTTGATTGGGTGTTTATCGCTTGTGTGATGTCCTAGTGGGGTATAAAGTCACTCAATTAAGATTATCGACTTTCATTAGGGGCAATAACTCCGATAAAATACTGAGGTCTAGCCCCATAAGACAGTAATACGTCTGAAGCCGCGAAAGAGGTTCCTTCAGTTTACTGATTTAATTAGGGCAACTAACTTTTGTTTTCACTCTCTATAACTTCATTGCTATTAAACAAACAAAATTGGTTCAAATGAAGATACTTGTTTTCGTTTGTGTGTGTGTGTGTGTGTGTGTGTGGTGTGTGTGTACAAGTTCAGTCATTATCGGATTAATGAATTTTTTAGGGGCAAAAAAGCAACAAGATTCAATTACTGACTATTTTGATTTTGATTAAGGACAAAATATTTTGTTATTTGAAAGGCGATATGATTATTCCTATGATATTTTTTTTTTAGTGCTAACTTAAGTTTTCTTTTCACTCTCTATAAATCAGAACCCAAAAAAAAAAAAAAAAAAAAAAAAATTCCACAAATGAAGATCTTGTTTTCGTTTTTTGTGTGTGTGCAATAAATCCATATTATCGGAGGTGAAGGAGTAAGTAACAAAAATGCAACAAGGACAATTTCAAGGAAATGTACAAGTGCACAAAAAAAAAAAAAATGAGAGAGCAAAGTTTTTTTTACAGACCCTTGTCGGGTGTTGGTGGTCCAATGGCCGTTATGTAGAAAAGCTCGCTCTCCTACGAAATACGCCTGGCCAAATCAAAGGGAGACAAAACAAACTGGAAACACCAAGTAAGAAGAGGGAAGACATGCACAAGTAACAACAGGGTGGAGAACGAGCGGTCTGAATCGGATAGAGCATCAAGCCCAGAAATGGCGCAAACACTAGTATTTAGTCACGAGAGAGACGCAAATAACACAGACCACAAATATAGGCGGAGACTGTTAGCAGCCTCAGCTAGCTAGCAGCAGTCTGAAAGTCGTCGACCTTTTATTTTTTTTTCTCAAAAGGAATTGGAATTGGAATTGTCGGGTGTTTTTTTTTTTCTTTCTCGGCACAGCTACCCTTAAAGCAGTTGGATACTTAAAGGGTGGGGGTGGGGGGGGGGGGGGGGGATGGGGACAGTGCAAATTTAACCTTCAGTTTTATTTAATGCGATGAATGTTTGAGAACTGCTGGTTTAGATCTAAGTCGTTATCAAAGAATTAGGACAGAATCACCATGCTGAGACACTGTGATCTTAGTCATAATTTTTTTTTAAATATCTGTGCGTAATGTCTGTTCCCATCGTAATGGTAAATTTAATTAAAGGGACTCAATTGTCCGTTATTTTGAGGCCACGCTCGGGCTGTAGTCGTGGGCCCTAAAATAACCCAACGGTTAAAAGGGGACCTACGCCCGGATGATCCTCATCCGAATGATGGCACTTTGTGTCACCAGGTATTGGTCGCTCGCTGTCCGGTTCTGGTGGGGTTTGTTCGTATCTGTGCGTGTCTTTCCTTTTAGTTACCACAATGAAGTTGCAGTTATTTGTGTCCGAGGTAGCATCATTTGTTTGTTTGTTGTTTAATCGTAGTAATCAGTGTATAAGATCAAACGATCCAAGTTTACTAAGTCAGTAGGCGACATCAGAAGACTCGTTTTCTAACTCGTATTGATCATCAGCATACGCAAAGAATGTTCTCTTTGCCTGAATCATTAAGGATGTTATTTCTGTTAGCTTTTCATCTGTTATTATAATTTACTGAAAGTAAAAAAATGTATATACATGTTTCAACATTAATGGTTTTCCCCGTAGGTTTTAAGTCGCCATTGTGGAAAGGGAAAGGTGGGGAGGGTGGGGGGTGCACAATAAACGAACCTCCTAACAAACAAAACAAAAAGTTAGTTGCGTATCCTTTACAGGACGTTGCAGAACCTACCCCAGTAGTTTGCCACTGCTCCTGGACGGTCGGCTCTTGGTACCACTGTCAACATCAACGAAAGACAAAACGTCCGCAGCTGGGATCGAACCCGGCACCCCGGCATTAAGAATCGCGTTTGTAACGCCTAAGCCACAGACGCTGACCTAACTAAGAAGAATGTCGTAAAAGAGACTGATCAGAGGCGTTTCCTCCGAAGTTGAAGTGCATCTGCCTGAGAGACAAGGAACCAACTGTCTGCAAACAAATAAGGAAGATCTGTAGAGCGTATGTGCAGGCAAAACTCAAGTATTGAAACAAGACTGAAGTATAGAAGTGGACAAACAACCTGAACTTGTGATCGGGGTTTACAGCTGGTGAACGCGAAGAAGAAAAAAGGACAGAGAACATTATGTAAGGAGCGGGGCGGGGGGGGGGGGGGCAAGAGGGGTAAGGGGCGGCCAGATATATTGCAAGTACTACTGGTGTCAGGTGAACTCAGGTGTTTTTAAAATTTTACATTACTAAAATTGTAGAGTATCTTACCAGCCAGAGATAATGAGCGACAAGGATCTCAGTAGTTCCCGCTCTTGACATTGTATCAAATTGATGCCGACAACAACAACGTAGAAATTATCCTTTGATTCGTAAACACCAGGACCGGGTATTGATAATCGAGGCAGACGACAAAAGCTGCACCTCAAATAGCTAAAGAATCAAACTGAAACGATCAATGTGTCGTCGACACAAGAAAACTCCCCGCACTGAGACAGAAAACGAAAGCATGGACTGTTTATACCGTCTGAGAAAAAAAAAAAACTTAAAACGTTGACAATTTATATTGCACGAAGGGAACTATCGATCTCTTGAAACGATGGCGCCATAATATTAATAAAGCGCTCGCCTATTGGTTTGTAAATGAGGGCCGCAAACTCAGATAACAGCGGACAATTTATAACAGTAGACAAGTGATAGCAGCCGACAAATGTATATTTTCTCAGAGTGGTCGTGTTCCATATTTATATATTTTTTTAACTTTCTGACAGACAGACAGACAGACAGACAGACAGACAGATAGATAGATAGATAGATAGATAGATAGATAGATAGATATATAGATAGATAGATAGATAGATAGATAGATAGATAGATAGATAGATAGATAGATAGATAGATAGATAGATAGATAGATAGATAGATAGATAGATAGATAGATAGATAGATAGATAGATAGATAGATAGATAGATAGATAGACAGATCGATCGATCGATCGATCGATCGATAGATAGATAGATAGATAGATAGATAGATAGATAGATAGATAGATAGATAGATAGATAGATAGATAGATAGATAGATAGATAGATAGATAGATAGATAGATAGATAGATAGATAGATAGATAGATAGATAGATAGATAGATAGATAGATAGATAGATAGATAGATAGATAGATAGATAGATAGATAGATAGATAGATAGATAGATAGATAGATAGATAGATAGATAGATAGATAGATAGATAGATAGATAGATAGATAGATAGATAGATAGATAGATAGATAGATAGATAGATAGATAGATAGATAGATAGATAGATAGATAGATAGATAGATAGATAGATAGATAGATAGATAGATAGATAGATAGATAGATAGATAGATAGATAGATAGATAGATAGATAGATAGATAGATAGATAGATAGATAGATAGATAGATAGATAGATAGATAGATAGATAGATAGATAGATAGATAGATAGATAGATAGATAGATAGATAGATAGATAGATAGATAGATAGATAGATAGATAGATAGATAGATACAACGCCCGAACGAACGAACTTTTTTTCAAAGGGTCAAGAAATGAGCATGCAGGCCCGTCCCCCTTCTAATCGCCTGACTTTTCAGACATCATTTCTTTCTTCTCTTGAGTTGTGGACTGAAGAATTACCCTAGTGGTTTCTCACTCAATATTTATACTTAGATGCCGGAATGCTAGTACGTCTCAACATGTTTACTATATGCGTTCTCACATGGGATTTTCTAATTATATCTCAATTGCATCAGATTTTATCATCTTATTCTGCGCAAATATAGAATTAAATTGACAGCTGTCGTCATAAAGACTTTTTAAAATAAGTACTACTATGTTCTCTATGAAAGGGCACGTCGACAATGACGTCAAATACTATTTACAAATTATTGTTGCTAAGACCAGTTGACTTTCGTCTAATCCGCTACTACGCAAAATCCTTCCTCCTGACAAACAAGTGATGACGTCATTAGTTAGTTATGGCGGGAAAAGAAAGCAACCAAAACTTGTTGATCCCGGTACATTCTAGCTCTGCGTAATATCCTTACTCCTAATAAACAAGTGATGACTTTTCCATGTTACAGGTGCTCGGTTAATATTCGAACAATTTCCGTTTGTATGCATAGGGACTAGTGTTCTTTTTGATTTGTTGAGGAAGATGGTTTCAAAGTTGAGCTGTGGGGTACGCTAAACTTGTTTTGAATCAATCTATCCTAGGTTTATGGAAATGTAATATGTTTAGGCATTTGATATGTATTCTATTGTATTTGAAAAACGGCCATAAGTAACATCTGGGATAATATTTTGTGAATAGTTTTAGCCTTATAGAAAAAAAAAGACATTCATGGGGCAGTATTAGCATAAGACCTTTATATGTTTTGGAACTGTCTGTCCAATAATTATGCCTGTTAAGGGAATGGCACATCGTTGAAGTAATGTGAGCCGCTTGATAACGGTACTAGAACAATCATCTCATAGTATAGAGCGACGGTCTATGTACATCTGTTTGTGAGATGTATAGAATATCTTTCATGAAGAAAGTTTTTAATTTCTGTGAACTGATATACTTTCTTAGCTGTTAGTTTCATTAGCACGTATTTATGATAGTTGAAATTTAGATTTGCGTCACTGATCAACACTAAAGTGCTGTGCCCAATTATACTTTCAACCATTGTGGTACCAATGTACAGCTGAAACGTTCCCTGTAAATTTAAAATGTATTGTCTTTGTTTGGTCGTTATTAACAAAGATTTTGTTTTATTAATGTTTAGTTGCATACGGTTTACACACCTTCATTTGATAATATCATGTAATTCTTGTTGTAAAGACCATTCTAGTACGTTACAATTCTGAGCATTTGTACATAATGTGCAGCTGTCTGCATTTAACTCGCAGGACGACGACATACATAAAAGAGGATTGGTTATGTAAATACCGAATAACAGAGGGCCAAGAATCGAGCCCTGGGGTGCCCCAATATTTACTGTAGTGGTTCACGATTGAGATTTATTGTAAGAGTTTACTAGTTTTCTATTTAGCAATAATGATTTTATTAACCTTATTATGTTAAATTTAGCTTTCATTGTTTCTAATTTTCTGGTGAGAACACTGATCTGTCATGTCAAAAGCATTTCTAAAGTCTGTAAACACCTCTCTACATATTTTTTTTCTTCGTAATATTATGAAGTGGTTTTTTTTTTTTTTTTCAGTTTCTGTTTCTGTAATGTTTGTTAAGGCAATATGGTATTACTACTTTGTTTAAAACCCTGATTGGTTATCTATAATACGTTTGTATGAAATAAATGCTGGAATTTTATGTTGTGAACTGGTTATTCTAGTAGTTTTGGTAGTGATAATAAAAGAGAAATCGGTCCATAGTTACGTGGGAGACCACTGTTCAAGAAATCAGTTGTTGGCTGTAGATAAACTTTGGCAATTTTAATGCTGATGGGAAGTAGCCTCTCACAAAATATTGAGTGTAAATAGAGATCATTTTCATCATCACATCACATCATCATCATCATCATCATCATCATCATGTGCCGGGCCGGTAAGGGCAGGCTGTCATGTTTGGCCATCTCAGACGGTCACCAGAATGACGTATAAGGTCAATGTTTTTGTCTCGCCCTTTCCACGTGGTCAAACCATTCAGGCAGTTATCTCTTTGCTCTACTCTTGCTCTCTTTCCACAATCTTGCCAGTTGTTACCATGTTCTCACGTCCGTTTCTTCTCATAACATTCAAATAAACACTGGTTGTCTACATCTAATTGTTCAGACAAGTTTACGACTTTCATCTGCCTCGTTGAGGACAGTTGGAAGAAACCGCTTAGAGGCTCAGCCTAACATTTCACACACATACACGACATAACTTTCCCGTTCTTTTTGCAGGAGAACAACTATAAGACAACAATGGTCACACGCTGAATATTTTCACATTTCGGAACTATCCAAAATCAAAAAGTGTTTTTAGTACTTTTTGACATAGTAAAATACTCAAAATTTTAAAACTATAAATGGTAGTCAAAGGACATTGTGCAGAAAAGCTTGCTCTCCTACAAAATACGCCTGGCCAAATCAGAGGGAGATTAAACCAAGAGGAAACACCAATAAAGAGAAGGAAAGAAATACACCCCTAGCAATAGGGTAGAGAACGAGCGGTCTGATTCGAAAAGAAGCTTTGAGCCCAGAGACGGTGCAAATACTAGAAATTTAGTCACGAAAGTGACGCAAATAACCCAGAATACAGATATAGGCAGAGACTGTTAACAGCCTCGGCTAGCTAGCAGCAGTCAGAAAGTGGTCGAACTTTTAATTTTTTTCTCAAAAGGAATCGGAATAGAAAACAAAGAAAAACCAGCCAAGCAACTCATGGCGTTCAGCAGCAGGGAAACTAGTTCAGCATCTACATCGTCCATTACCACCACTAGTAAGCAGGCGACGGTGAAACATATTTCCTTAACCGAGAAAAGGAGCAACAAGAAACCATTAAAGAAGAGCAGCCAGTGAAGGACAACACTTTTCCAGCTACAATAAATCTAAAAAGGTAAAGCTAAAGTCCGTAGATGTGAACCAGCGTCATTGCACATGGTTATAACCCATCAGTGCTCTGCACCATTACGGGCAGCTGATAAGAATAGTCCGCCTATGTCGCCGTCCGTACGTATCTTTGCAGCTACAGTAACGTTCCTCCATATACCCCAGAGTGTCAACTCTATTACCCATTTCCTAGAGGCTTGGTGAACACCGGGAGCCGCCCGGTTTCGAACACCGACCGTGGGCTGCTGCGAGTCACAGCTGGATTTGAAAGCGAGCTTCTTATCGACTGCGCTAACGCGGGTCCCTACAATAAATCTAAAGCGGACAAGTGAATGTTAGGCTAAACTGTTTGCCTTATCAGGCATGACTATAATCAACTGGATTAAGAACTCCTGGAAAAGCGACGCGTCACACAGATATACAAGACAAAGGGCAGCAGGACAAATGAATAGTCCATGACATTCCACATTAGGAAGTTGAATCCTGACAGATTAGGGAGCTAACGAAACAGCTGGAGGCAGCACAACCTGTACAGAAGTCAAGTCGCTAGGCACGAACTGCAGACAAACGGATAGTAACTGAGCACATGAGCAGTAACATAAGTTTCTAAACACTGAGACAGTGATAAGATCGGAAACAAATTTTCACGGTTCAGAAACGGAAGTTGCTACAAATCGAACACCAAAGCGACGGTGAAGGTGGTGGAAAAAAAATCCCACACGCCATAACATCACTTAACCAATCAAAAGACGAGAACGATGCCCCTTACGCAGAGAGTGACTCGAACGACAAAGTTGTCGACAGTCAGGAAGAAAGCAGCCAACTATGACCAAAGACACTTCCCGCTAGAACTAGCCAATGGAAAACTAGGCTGAGGACAAGAAGATTAGGAGATATTAGGACTAATGTCCTTCCTAGGACAACGCATGAACGAAATGAGAAGAACAGGACACATGAACAGGATAGGAAATAGAAGCAGCCACAAAACTCAAACTCCAAACAAAATACAGCAAGTAGTGAATTAAGAACACGTTGGGGAACAAAAGGCTAAATCAACCGCAACCATCAAACAAACAAAAAAGTAAGCAAGAATATCAAAGACTCTAATCATAACCAACAAAATACAATATGCACAGGGTTAATTCGGTGTAGGGGAGTAACGTAGTATGTATTGCTAATTGTGTCTTTGTCTGCAGGTATACGGGCTGAATTGCTGATTGTGTGTTTGACTGAGCCTTTGTCTGCAGTCACATGTAATAAATTGATGGCTGAATCTTTGTATTCAGGGATATGGCATGAATTGCTGATTGTTTCTTTGTCTGTGGGTACACATGATTAATTACTGACGGAGCCCTTGTCTGCGGGTATATGAGATGAATAACTGACTATGTCTTTGTCTACAGGTGCAGGTCAAATATCCCTGTTTAAGTCTTTGCCTAAAATTGTTGGTACGGTAACGACCATTTTGTTGCATGCAGCACTTTCTGTCGAAGGAAATTTTGCATTCTCTTGATTTAGTTGTAAAGTTATTTTTAAAGTATCTTTCTTTGCAGGATACATCCCGTTAACTGCTTTCCTGTCAGTAGTTGGTAACGAAGTAGTTTTGACGTCGTCTTTGTCTGTAATAACTGGTGAACTCATCTTGAAAATGTCTTTGTTTCTGTATGATGTGCGGTTATTGCTACCACTATAGTCGTCTATGATAACAGGTGATATTTTCTTAACGGTGTCTTTGTCTGAAATTACTGATGAAATAATTTTGGTTGTATGGTCTTTGTCTGAAATTACTGATGAATTAATGTCGACTGTGTTGTCTTGGTCTATACATGCTAATGAAGTAATATTGACAACGTCTTCGTTCCTAATTTCTGGCAAAGCAATATTGACCGTGTCTTCGTCTGTAATTACTGGTGAACTAATGTTGATAGCGTCTTCACTTGTAATTGCTAATGATGTTAGATGGACCGTGTCTGGCTCAGGATATGGTTCCACTGTAAAAGGAACTTCCGACGTTTGGGTGACTGGGACCCGTCTATCAACCGAGGGGGATTTCCCTGCAGGATCCTCCTCTTGACCGCTCCTACCCGATCTTTCTAGAGAGCTGACGTTCGGTTTCCTGAACATGCCACACAGCTCCTTCCGGAATCTGGATCCAGTAACACAGTACAGGATGAAGTTGACGGAGTTGTTTGTGTACATCACCAAGTTGACAACCGTGTACACAAGATTTAAAATCGCACCGTTGGAAAAGGACGGCTGAAGCTGCAATTTCGGCAGCACAATGAAATACACGCTCACTGGGGTTGTGGTGATCAGGAATACACTGTTGAGGATCAAAAGGATGGTGTTCATGGATGAATTTCGCTCCACTCTTTTAGATGCTTTGAGTGATCTTTTAGTCGTTGTGTTTTTGGGTGCAAGTTTAGGATCCGGTGTGATGTCCAAAACTGCAACTTTCCGTGTCTTTCTGCGACTAAGGAAAACTTTGGTAGCAATACATGTGTTTCCTATGATGAGAATAAAGAAGGGTACACAGCAGTACACGCTGAAGTCGAGCCATGGGAACACATCTCCGATAAACAACGCATATTCAGTTGAGACATAATCACAAAAATAACTGATTTGGTTTTTTCTATGGAAAGTTTTCAGATCACGGCCATACAGAATATGACCATTGATAGCCATCATACCGATCAGTACGCCAATTACGATCAAGACTGAGGACATGCGGGTACAGTAAGACTTAACTTTGTGAGGAACAAACACCGACAAAATGCGCTCAAAAGTGAAGGCCACCAAGATCCAGACGGAAGTATCCAGGGCCACGTAGACGATCCAGGAGTTGATCTTGCAGCTCAGATTTGATTTGTTCCTGTAAAAAGATACGTTCGCTAGTAGTTAAGTTAACAATTATAAGTGATATTATTATTATTTTTAATATGGGTGTAAAAAAGAAAGGAAGTTATGAGTAAGGTTATCATCATGGCACCCCGGGCACGTCTATTCGGAGATGATTAGATACCCATTTTAAATATACTCATTTTCATACTATGGGTAATAGTGCCAGTCCATAAAGAGAGCAACGTTCTGTAAAGGACAGGTTGAATGACTGACTAATACTTGAGTGCAATGTATCTAGTTCAGTACTAGGACAGAATCAGTAACACGAAATTTAGAGGGGAAATTAAAGTAGACCAATGAATCAAGTGGAGAGTGAAAATGCTAGCTCTAAAAAGTGCAAAAACTTCATAAGGCTGTTATGGAATAGCTAAAAACGTCATTGTAAATTAACCACAAAAGGTTAAAGGTATAGAAAATCATCACAAGGGAAATAAAACTCATATAAAAAGTAATCAGAAACTGACTGACTGACTTTCTACCCCACCAGGACATCACACAAGCGACAAACACCCGATGACGCAAAATGCCACCACGTAGATGAGGATCACCGTGGAGAGGTCCCAGAAACCGCGTTAAGACAATTGGCCATAATGATGGCCTGTCTATATTGCGGCCCCTGGCAAAATATATAAGATATACCAATTAAAAACGGAGATTAGTAACTGGACATGGTCAAGTTCATTTGTCTCCAAAAAGGGTGAGAAACCTTAACTAAATATTCTTCTTTACCTTTGACTAAGCATTATTTTCCCAGGTTTATTTAACCTTGACTAAACACATTTTTTATATTTTAAATCGCACTTTAATTTAGTGCCCCTTCCCACCAGTAGCGTTTAAGCTTGTGTTGTAGGTTACTAACTGCCGCTACGTTTCCATTTATGACCCGTGTTGTTCGCCGAGTCACCCCCCCCCCCCACCCCCTCCCGTCATCTTTACTACTTCGGTCACGAATTCTCTGTTCCTCTAACCACAGTAAGCCGCAAATAGCACTAAAGAACCCCCTGTTTCCCTTCAAAAATATAACTTGAAGTCAACATTTAGATTCAGACAGCTTCTGAGAACCACATTTCTTTCTTCAACTGACATAGTAGTGATATCTTAACCAAGAACATTACACGCCGTTAACATTTAGCTCCAAATAACTCTAAGGACTACATTTCTTCATTCAACTGACACAGGACCGACCAAGAAGATTACCTGAGGTCAACATCTGTCAGTGCTATGATGAACTGTCGAAGCAGACCTGTGTACAAGACAGATGTGTCAGCCAGCGCCAAAGCGATCAGATACACGGATGCGTTGGTGGACCTCATGTTCCGTCTACACATCACTGCCACACAAATCAGGTTCCCTATGGTTCCAAAGATGATCAGAATAGGGGCGATAATCTGTGGAATGTCCGTAATAAAGTTGTGACACGATTAACTGGAGTGTGATTTCAGTTTGGGAACCGACGTGGTATAGTGGTTAGACGTTGGCTTTTTGATCAGAAAGTCATGGGTTAGGGTACTGACTAATATGGACTTTTTTCAAAAATAACCTTGGCTTCCAGGTCGACCCAGCCTTAAATGGTCACCAGTTAAAGTCATAGGAAGTAAAGGTGTCCGGCTCGAAGTTTACGACATCAGACATCGACTGTCGCCCTGGTCCATAAAATATAGGTAAAACCCTATAAGCTAGCCCTGAAGCAGTGAAAGAGGTTCCTTCAATTTACTATGAATTAATTACGGACAATAACTCCATGATATTAATACTTGATTACTATTAAATCAATCGATATTTGATTAGGACAATACTTTGAGGATACTATTAAATGATTAATGAATTTTATTAGGGGCAATAACTCCACGACACAGTTACTGAACCATTGATTTAACAATAGACAATAATTTCAAGAGGCTTTAAAAAAACATTCCTGCCGTCATGGGGATTTGAACAAGTAACAGCCGAGCCAGCTAGCAAGCGGGCAGCATCTGGGTTACACGGTCCATCAAACATTGAATGAACATGGGTCAATCACATGGCAGAACTAGTCAAAGAACCCCTGTCACATCTGTTTGATCAAATATTTTATTAATGCACTGCTTACCCGCCAATGTCACTCGTGAAATATCAAAAAGAACAGAAATTTCACTGAAGAGTAAAGAACCTACAGCCTAACCATTAGGACATTCCCTCCAAATGCCAAGTTCCCATCTTCAGCAACCAGTATGTCTTTGTTTTTAGTATGCCCATACACCCACCTCCACCCTCTCTCCCCCCCCCCCCCCACCCACCCCTCCCAGATCTGTATTTGAAAAACACAGAAAGCCTTTTCAACCGTATATCTACACATTAAGTTTATATCGAGGTACCCAATACGATTACAAAGCAATATATAGTTTATGTAAGGAGCAGGGCAGGGGGAGGGAGTATGGGGGGTTAGGGGCGGCCAAAATATATTTGCAAGTACTAATGGTGCCAGGTGAACTCTGATATTTTTAAAATGTTACATTACTGAAATTGTAGAGTAACTTACCACCCAGAGATAATGAGCGACAAGGATCTCAGTAGTTCCAGCTCTTGACATTGTATCAAATTGATGCTGACAACAACAACGTAGAAATTATCCTTTGATTCGTAAACACCAGGACCGGGTATTGATAATCGAGGCAGACTACAAAAGCTGCAAATCAAATAACCAAAGATTGAAGTTGAAACGATGAATGTGTCGTTGACACAAGAAAACTTCCCGCTGTGAGACAGAAAACGAAAGTATGGACTGTTTATACCGTCTGAGGAAAACAAAACTTAAAAGTTGACAATTTATATTGCACAAAGGGAACTATCGATCTCTTGAAACGGGTGCTATAATATTATTAACGCGCACGCCAACTGGTTTTTGCATGAGGGCCGCAAACTCAGATAACAGCGGACACTTTATAACAGTAGACAAGTGATAGCAGCCGACAAATGTATATTTTCTTAGAGTGGTCGTGTTCCATATTTATATTTTTTTTAAACTTTCTGACAGACAGACAGAGACAGACAGACAGACAGACAGACAGACAGACGGACGGACGGACGGACGGACGGACAGAGGAACGGCTGGATGGATGGATGGATGGATGGACGGACGAACGGTCGGGCTGACAGACAGACAGACAGACAGACGGATGGATGGACTGACAAACGGGCGAACAGATAGACAGACAGACACTCAGACAGACAGACAGACAGACAGACAGACAGACAGACAGACAGACAGACAGACAGACAGACAGACAGACAGACAGACAGACAGACAGACAGACAGACAGACAGACAGACAGACGTAAGGATGAATAGACCGACAGACAGATAGATAGATAGATAGATAGATAGATAGATAGATAGATAGATAGATAGATAGATAGATAGATAGATAGATAGATAGATAGATAGATAGATAGATAGATAGATAGATAGATAGATAGATAGATAGATAGATAGATAGATAGATAGATAGATAGATAGATAGATAGATAGATAGATAGATAGATAGATAGATATAGATAGATAGATAGATAGATAGATAGATAGATAGATAGATAGATAGATAGATAGATAGATAGATAGATAGATAGATAGATAGATAGATAGATAGATAGATTGGATAGATAGATAGATCACCCGAACGACCGAAAATTTTTCTTTTTTAAAGGGTCAAGAAATTGGCACGCAGGCCCGTCTCCATTCTAGTTCCCCCATTCTTTCAGACATCATTTCATTCATACATCAAGTAATAGTGAACATTATTAACAGCAGCTAAATAGCAGTGGAGTGTGCACAGTTTTGGCTACAGTAAACCCTAGTAATTGTAATAAATCCAGGGGAAATGGCGCTATTTCTAAAATACTTTTATTTTTTATGGAAGCATGCAATCTGTGCTCAGTTAAAACTCGAGCAATTTCCGATTGTATGCATGTGGACTAGTAGTATTTTTGATTTGCTGAGAAAGAAGGTTTCACAATTGAGTTGCGGAGTTAGCTAAACTTGTTTTGAATCAGTCTATCCTATGTTTATTGATATTTAATATGTTTAATCATTTGCTATGTATTCTATTATATTTGAACAACCGCCATAAGTAACACGGAGCCTTCTGTGATAATATTTTGTGTATAAGTTTAGCCTTATTGAAAAACAGACGTTCCCGGAGCAGTAGTAGCATAAGACCTTTATATGTTTTAGAACTGTCTGTCCTATGGTTTTGCTTATTATGCGAATGGCACGTCGTTTAAGTGATGTAAGATGCTTGAAAACTGAACTGGAACAATCATCCCATATTGTAGAGCAATAGTCTATAAACATCTGGACGTGAGAAGTATAAAATATCTTTCTTGCGTCTTGATTAATTTTTGTGAGCTGATATAATTTTTTAGCTGTTTTTTGTTTGTTTTTTCACTAGTCATTGTAAATTAGAGTTGAAGAATGGATTTGCATCACTGATCAACACTGGTGCATTGTGCTCAATTAAACGTTTCCACTTTAGTGTTACCAATATAGAATTGAAATTTTATTTTTGAATTTAAAGTTTACAGTCTTTGTTTATTCGTTATTAACAAAGATTTTGTTTCATTAATGTTCATTTGCATACGGTTTGCACACATTTATTTGATTAAATTATGTAATTCTTGTTGTAAAGACGATTCTAGTTCGTTACATTTCTGAGTATTTGAACAGAATGTGTAGCTGTCTGCATATAACTCGCAGGACGACAACAGACATAAAAGAAGATTAGTTATGTAAATATCGAATAACAAAGGGCAAGAATCGAGCCTTGGGGTACCCCAATATTTACTTTAGTGGTCCACGATAGAGATTTATAGTACGAGATTACTTCTTTTCTATTTGACAAAAATGATTTTATTAACTTTTTTATCTTAAAGTTAGCGTTCATTGCTTCTGATGAGAACACTGATTTATTATGACAAAATCTTTCCTATAATCTGTAATAACCTCTCCACATATTTTGTTTTCTTCGTCAAAGTGTTATTTTCCGTTTCTGTTTCTGTGATGTTTGTTAAGGCAGTATGGTTGTACTACTTTGGTCAAAACCCTGATTAGTTATCCACAATAAGTTTGTGTAATCTAAATGCTGAAATTTTAAGTTGTGAATATATTTTTCTAGTAGTTTCGATAGTGATGATTAAAGAGAGATCTGACTATAGTTACTTAGGAGACCACTGTCCAAGAAACCAGATTTTCTCCCTGGATAAACTTTGGCAATTTTAATTCTGATGAGAACAAGATCTGGTGTGTAAATAGAGATCACCTTCATCATCACAACATCGTCATCATCATCAGGATCATAAAAAATCATCAAAATCATCATCATCAAAACCATCATCATCATGGGTCATGCCGGTATCGGCAGGCTGTCATGTTTTGTCATCTCAGATGGTCACCAGAATGACGGATAAGGTCAATGTTTTTGTCTCGCCCTATCCACGTGGCCACACCATTCAGGTATGTATATCTTTGCTCTCTTTTTGATCTCTTCCCTTCAATCTTGCAAGTTGTTACCAAGTTCTGACAGCCATTTATTCTAATAACATGTCCAAAAAGCACGGACTGTGTACATCTAATTGTTCTGACAATTTACGACTTTCATCTGTCTCGATGAGGACTGTTGGAAGAAACTATTCGCATTTCAATGGGATTTATTCAGTTGTGTGCTTCATTTTATGTTGATGTAACGCACCTGACGAGATACAGCGACATTTGCATGGCAATAAATTGTGCAATATATTGTTTGTGTCCGCATTATTTAAAGACTGTTGGTTTGTGTTTCTATTCCTCTATGATGTCCTTTGCATTCTTCTTAAAAACCACATCTTTGCCACAAGAAATGTTTTTGAGTTTGTCTGCTTGTTATCTATGTCTCACATGAATAGAGAAACACAGGTTCTACATAGCACTATAACTATTTTTGTTCCTCACGGCTTTTGACATCGTCTTATTGGTAAGAATCTTTTGCATCTTACCGAAAACCACTTTTGACATGGCGATTCCTGTTCTAATTTCTGACAGTTCTAAAATAGTTTATATATTCATTTAGTTTTTCGTTCATCTTGGCGATGACTATAATTTTGGTTTTCTTAAGTGTAACGTCTTACTGTGAACTATCACTGCCTCCACTAAACACTTCAGATCTGTTTCATTGTCTACAGTAAACACTGTATCACTTCCCTGAGGTACAAGGTGGAAGAGAAGAAGATATCACATGTACATCTCATATTATGTTGTGTCTCTTTGTACTGGGTCTCACTGGTACTACAGACACTGGATCTTGTCTAGAGGTCAAGTTCACATATCAGACGAGACAGATCTTCTTCCCAACCAAATGTTGATTTGACATCCTCCCACATTGATTCTCTTCATGTTTTTTAGATGTCATAAAATAGTTTCACTATAATACAAAAGAAGACCTAGAGATATTACACATCCCTGTCGCACACCTCTCTTTATTGGCTGGTACAGGGCAATTTCATTATTGATTCTTATAGCAGTACAATGTTAAATATATATATAAATAAATCAATGTTTGCGAGTTTGTTTATGAGCTATAGACTCGGAAACTACCGAACCGATTTAGCTGAAATTTTCAGGATATGTTTGTTTTGATACCGGATGTTCACCCATTATGGTTTGAAATTCAACCTGTCATTGTTAGAGATAGTTTGCGACAATTTCGGCAAAAATATTCGAAACTAATATTTAAATTGTTAGTGACATCTAATTATAGCCACGTTAGTAATTGCGCATGCGCCGTAGTCAGAACGCAAGGCTTCCACCATTCGCCGGCGAGTTACGTGCAGCAAGTGATCAATCACAACGACAATTTGGTATTGCTGTATTATATTATATTATATTATATTATATTATATTATATTATATTATATTATATTATATTATATTATATTATATTATATTATATTATATTATATTATATTATATTATATTATATTATATTATATTATATTATATTATATTATATTATTTTATATTATCTTGATATTATGTTACATTACATTATATTATATTATCTTGATATTATGTTACATTACATTACATTACATTATGTAAGAGGTGACAGGTTCCGGTGGCCCTAATTCTTTCTGTTTAACGGAAACAGTAACAAGTAACTTTATCACCCTGACGGCATAGTTTTACAAAAACAAAATTATTCTTTATAGCTGTGTTAAAATTAGCATGTGTACTATTTGTATATCTGATACGCTAACATACGAAGCGTCACATCTGCTTCATAGATCGTTTAAAGGTTCCCCGATGTGATTTTTCGAAGGGTAGCTCTAGAACTTAGAATAAAAGTTATCTTTGACCAAAATCAAACGCCATACTTATTCTAGCGTGAACCAAAATTGGCGTTGTTGTTATCACGAATTGTTGCATCACTTTATTGTCTGTTTAATAATAAATAAAGCGAACAGAGAAATGGCGTTAAGACACCATGGATCGATTAAGAATAGACTCTAGAAAAAACGGTGGCTGAGTCAACCAATATTAATGGAGCCCTTAAATATACGA